ACACCACCATGACCATTGTCATATTTGCATTGGAACGCAATGTTGATAGTTCACGGATTACACTGCATTATGATTGTCTCAATATTTCAAGGAAATAAGGTTCCACTATAAAATTCAAGAAATAACAACAACTGAACATAAGGACGTAATAATTCTCTACAAAAGGCATCCCGAAAGTGCAGTAATTGCGCACTTAAAGAGCATTTCGAGTTTCAATTCGTTTAGAATTTTTCGCAGTCTACTGATTTTATACATCCTTGATCACTGAACTTCACTGTGTTGGTTCAGATGAATGCATAAGACTATGTCTCCTCGAACAATTAGTGTCTGCATAGAGAGCTTCATCTATCATCTGTTCATGTCATTCGGCCTTTATAAGAAATCAAACACGTTTTGCTTTTTTTAGTGGCTGTGGTTTGATGAAGTCTGATACCGTACTGAGAAGTTGTGAAAGAGAAATTCTGAATGTTGTTTTCGAATTTGTTCTTGTTCCTATTGGAGGAAATGAAATGAACTATTTGACAAAAATCTGATCAATCGTTTTCATTATCCAAAATTCAATTCACTATCGATAGTTCGAATGTAGTATGAAAGGAAGAATCAACCTGGAATGAAATTCACAATAGGAATGCGAATAGTACACATACTTTGTCGAAGATATTTGCTGAGGAATTTTCGCATTTCGGTGTTCTCGTCTCCGTCACTTATGATATGGCCTCGACCCCAGCATGATTCGTGCACAAAGAGTGTTGGTCGACCCGAAAAATTATCCGCTTGCTTCAAGAAAGCATCTCGCATAAGACGAGCCCTGAAAGAACAATACACTTAACGCAGTCAGCTTCAATTTGAAATGTGTCCGATGGCAAGATGCTGCAAATCAAGCTGTTCCCCTTGTTTGCGAGAGAAAACAGCGAGGGCATAAATCATCCATCAACTTTAGTGAATCAATTACGTAAGGCAGTGCAAATCGAAAGATGAAGTTAGAGATTTGGTTATGGTTTTGGTCTTTTTGGTGCAATGGTTTTGGTCTCAACGCTACACCGAGCGCATCTGCACTGTAGCGCAAAATGAACAGTCAGTCCACAAAAGGCAAGCTGAAGTGATGGTGAGGAGCAGAAATCATAAAACTATGAAAACGTTTTGATTATGAAAAGATTCGAGATAAACGCGCTAACTGCTCGAACACCTTGAGATAACGATGACTCGTTGAGTACCAAAGAAAACGCTAAAAATGTCGCCGTATTCTCGTGACCAGTAGTCTATTGTTTCGAACGGCTTCACGGAATTCAACCTCCACAAATGTCCAATAACGGGTAAACGACCATATGGAGCTGAAAATTCACGTAGATCCGGTAGGAATGCACGTTCACTGCACTCATACATATTATTGCCTTCGAAGGCCTTTCAATTGAGGGAAGGAAGGCTCTGATAACCACGAATCTTTCAAGAATACAAGCCCGCGGTTGATGATGCACTAAAATGGTGGTTCAAATGATTACGGAAGTAAAAATAGAAGGGCCCAATGAAAGCTGTGTCTGATAGAAAAAGAATGCTGCATTTGAAGGAATTACTCCAATTATGGCAAAATTTCTGGCTTTCTGAATAATTAGCGCAGTATGGGACGATGTTCTTATAGCAGTGATTATTTGCCCTTGCATGTATGTGCATGCGAGTGACATGGAATATGTCAAGATGTATCTTAGTCAAGCAGGTTTGTTGAGGGTAGCGCTCTACGCTGAACGTTGACGAAACGACCAGATTAGTTTGATTCTTCGTTACTTACATAAGGAAGCTAGAGGAGGATTGTTGCGGAGAATATTATTTTTTGTGAAGATGCGTACTGGGTGGTAGCTGAAGATGTTTTGCGTCGGGTCGATAAGTGAGAAGCCTCCATAGACAATATATCACAAATAGAAGCACCAAAACAAGCATGATGAATGCTCTGCAACGCAGGATTCCAGCGATGGAACAGAGCCAGAATCCGATAATCAGCACGCTGAAGTAGACAAATCTTGTCGTTAGGTGGTAAATCATCCGTAACACAACACCTACTTATCCGCTCGTAATGATCACTCTGAAAGTTTGTTTTCCACGGATCATGATCGTTCGTTTGCAAGCAACAAAATTTTTGTAAAAATGGAATTGTGAAGGCAGCAACTGAGGAACAACACCGACCAAGGAACATCAGTGACTAGGGAATCTTTAGGTTCCGTTCAGTTATGAGGAGTTTTTCTTCGCCACAGCTGAATTCATTGATAATTGAAAGAGAATGCAAAACACTACATTTCATCAAGAAAACGACGGTGTAATGATGAACTAATGATAATAAATGATTTTTTTTCTCAACAATCAATTCAACATGATTGGAAAGTATCAGACCATGTGCACATTCATATGATTCGAATCAAGACGAAGGGTGTGGTAAGTTCCTGAATTTTTTTTGTTGTATTAACTACCTTCCACTACATCAGTTTTTACACTATATCGATGATGGCTGCATATTGAACAGCTCACTCCAACGAATATCGATATTCGTTTGATGATAGCCTATACCCAAATTGGCACGTTCATATCTAAATTCCCAACCTCCCGTTCAACATCTATCTTTAATCGTTAATGAAGTTGAATATAATTGATGAGTCTACCCGGCCCGTTCAGCTAATCTAAATTTTTCAACTGCACTGAACTCGTCATGATGACGACAGCGTTCGCACTGAATGTGTGTATACCATGTTCGACTCAGTTTAATGTTGATGATTATGTGGCATGTTTCAGGCATGTTATATTCAAGTGATTTCAGGTAAACTATTCGAAGGTATTACACTGGCTTGAAACCTATATAAATACCGCACAAAAGTTCATTATTGATCTTTCATCCTATCAATACAACGGCCCCTCATAGCTTAACAATAACGAGTAAATTAAAAGCGAAAAGCAAAAAAATTGATGATGTGAAGAATGAATTTTCAAATGATTATCATTAGTCGAAAGTGCAAATCTTCGACTACTTTTCTTTGACAGACAGATGACGCTAGAAAAGTTGACACATTAATTTGCACGTAATCTGTGAATGAAGGCTACAAATTCTTCAATTCAAGCTTTACTTTTGCGATGAAATTCATCAACACTGCAGCGGGCATGTGACTGAAAACGAACTGACAACCAAAAAAAATCGCTTGCTGGCGAAATCGTTGGCCAGTTTCTTTGCGATAAACATTACTCCTGTTTAAGGTATCTACTGTTTTCGTCAACAAATCGACTCTTTCCAAGTGTTGCAGGAAAATGCGATATCAACTCCGAAAAAACCCACATCAAAATCATCGCTGTATGTGACACGGTGGACGACGTTCCAAGATTTTAATTTATTTTTGCGTTGAACGTTTTTGGAATGAAAACTCAAGAACTGGAAGCTTTTTTTCACTTAAAATTTTGTGACATGTGATCGCAGAACATCGCCCCAACATGCCATTTTTCTACTGCACAAAAAAAAACATGTGACGCTGAGCAATCTGATTTGTTCTAAAGATTCCTTGTCTCTGTTCATTTAAGAAAGGAACTTTTCTGATGTTGAAAGCTTTTAGAAAGGAACTTTCTGAGGATGCCAGTTGGCCAGTGCTTGCTCTCACGATGCTTCCGTGAAGTACAACTTTATTTCATGAATATCAATGAGTAGGTGATTTCTTCGCTTTCAGATGGAATAGAAATTTCATAATTGTGAAATAATGATTCCAAAATATGCTTATTTTGCTATAATTAAGATAAGAATGAGAAAATATTTTAATGTTAGCTCTCCATCCATATCATACGTTCTCATGATAGTTTTCTCGGTTGCCGTCCATTATGCAGCCATTGAACTACAGCTCAAGATATCAATAGTCACCCACATGAAATGCATTCATAATAGCGCAATATGGCAGCTTTTTGCATCCATTCATCTTTAAAATGATAAAAGAATTCGATTCTCACGAGTATGCAATAGGATAACAATAATGAAATGGCAAGATTGAACGTTAAAAAAAACACTTCCGACAATATCATTTCTTATGTTCTTTCATCATTATGTCACATTGTTAGGCATCCAAAAGTGTTGAATAGAAAAGACACAGAGATAATAAATAAACATGGCTACAGTACCTGAACTGAGCAGTAGACTGAAAAGTCTAGAAAATGATAGTTTTGCTGTGGCTAACTTGCATCATTAGTTTGCATTTTCTCTTCTTTTTATAATAATATTAGCTGTTATCGATGTTGCTAATGCACTTTCCAAATTTACTGATATCACTTGTGCAAATGCATTCAGATTGTACGCGTCCGTCACCTTCACAAACTCATTCAAATCTTATGGATCGCTTTTGCAAATGCATTGCAATCTTAAATGCTTGAAATATGTCGTATCACATCACGCAGTTCACATCTGCCCATCGCGATTTGCAACTTTATCTTAATTCCTGCATGAAATTGACACGAAGCAGTTTTTGTTGATTGTTTTCATCAAAAAAACATTGCTAGACGCAGCAGCTGTACACCAGAAATACTGCAAATTTTCGCAACATAACAACACGGAACCCATTTGGATGTCAAATTTTGCGAAACTGAATCAAGTGTGTTCTGAGACACCGATGGGAGCAATTTGAATGAATCAAACTTCTCTACTCCTAAGTGGAACGGAATATGCTACACGTTGAATGTCATCAGGACAAATTGCTTCTGCCTTCAAGGAGGAAAAATTTCAATTCTGATCGAAGCATTTTTTCAGAGTTTCAACGATCCTTCGAATGAGCGTCGATGGAACTTACAAGTACATATTGAATATTGTATATTGAGTATATATTGAAGGAATAACATTTCATATTGGATTCGTCACGAAAAGAGTATATATTGAAGGAATAACGATGAAAAGGGATTGCTTATAAGTGCTGTATCACCATAAATAATCAGATCACTTCCAGAAGTGGAATTAATTCATCGAGTAATCTAATACCCTTGCATCCTCCGTCGGAAGCATAACATAAGCATGTATCAAATAGTGAGCTAGCATAATATAGGCAAATTGCAAATTCTATTTTCAAATCAACAATACAAAAAAGTGAAAAATCCACTGAAAAAACCGTGAGTTGGGAAAGCGACTCAAACGTTTAAACAGGACAAAATGAGCAACAAGAATGAAGACGTTGTGAATACGGTGCTGGTGTAAAGCGTAATCATTTATCATCAACGCGGCGGCGTAACTTAATTATACAGAGACATCAATTAAAAAGAGACATTCAACAATAGGGTACTGGGACATTTTGCCTAAAGTCATTTTGCCTAAGGACAGTTTCTACCATTGAGGAGACTCGAGTTGTTTGTGACTGGAATTTGATATTTACAATATAATTCAAGAAAAGAAAATGTCATCAAATTGCGAGAAAATAGATAACGTTTGCAGAAGTCTTTGTGAAGTCGATTGATGATGGAATTCGGAAAAGTACAATACGTGAGAAAGGAGTACTAAATGGAAAAATGAGCAAACTCGTTAACGATAGAATAGCAAATGAGAATGAACGCACTTTCCTTGATGAATGACTAGACGTTCAGTGGGCATAACACCATCAAAGCCACGAAAACTTGATGTTTTCATAGGAGGACTGGTATGTATTAGAATAATAATTCTTGTATTTATGTCCTCACTTTGCGCTTTAGTTTTCTTGAACTGTAGCGTAGTAAACTGATGTGTTCATCCAGACGGGTTTGTTAGAACCTCTATATTGCTCAACTAGAGTCATGCTTAAGAATTTGAGAAGGTTTTGATCTTTAATGCACTAGATCTAATGGAAGCTCACGAGGATTACAATTTAGTACATCCAGATACGAAGGCAACATAAGACTGAATTGTTAAAAATTAGATACCTCCACCAATTTCGTTGAATGCACTTACAACATGATCACAACGCTCATGATGGGATCAACCTCTAAAATAGATAAGAGCATCCTGGTGAAACCTTTGCATAGCTAAGGGTGTCCATGATCAGTCAAGTGTGTGTGCGATGCCCGATGCAAGTATCTTGCAGCCACATCCTTCTTAGTTCACGACAAGTGGTAACACAGTCATCTTCCAGCTAGGGATAAATTCCGAGATCGTTCCTTAATCCCGGAATACTCTCTGGAAATACGAAAGTTCGACAGATTCTTTTTGATTCAATACATCCATAATGACTTAAGAAGCACTTCAACTAACAGACCATGCAGACAGCGGCATCCTAAAATCTAGAAAGAAAGCATCAACATTACAACAGAAGTAAAACTTATAGTAAGATATAACATCAGCAATTCAATAATGTTGCATTGCCTTGGCCTTTTCAACGAACAAATTCAATGAATTATTTTATAGTTGCTTTCATTAT